TTTATTTAGACGATGAGTACACACTTAAAAGAAAAAATGATTAATGGAATCTGGCTGAAAATTTGAGTTAAATCTTGCCCACGCGTTTTGATATTTTGTTTCCGACGTAGTATCTTCTTTCTTTTCATTATTTTTTTTAAATGGATAAATTAAATAACAACATTTCCAGGATAAAATCTGTTGAACCACAATCAAGCATGTCGTATTTATATGAAAGACAAAACTTTGCCTACATCGTACGATAAATTCAGTGGCTGAAATTCACCACGACAGATTTTTTTTTTTTTAAGCCAATATTGATAATAAAAAAAAACCTCAATGATCATATGAACAATACTAATCGTCATCAAATTCCCACCGCTATAAATAAATTGTGTGAAGTGCTAGCCTCCCTAAACAACATAACTTCTCTTCTTGAAAACCAAAAAAATAATGGGAGAAGTTGATTCAAGATTAATTAATCCTTCCTTGAGGTTTTTATGTCTCCCCATTCATATTCACAACCTATGGATTGCCTGCATGTATATATCTCTATATGTGTGTTATATTGTGTATGTTGAATTGAAATATAGATGTATGTATATTTGTGATGCAGGTGTGATGGTAAGAGTGATAATGAAAAGTATAGTGGGTATGATGAGAGAAGTAGTATGTACCCTTTTGTGAATGCTCTAAGTATGAGTGGTGGTGAAGGAGACAACAGTTACTCCACCAATTCTCTTCTTCAGGTTTCTTCCATTTTTCCATATAATATTCCTTTTCCTACATAATTGTTGTTCAATCTAGTTCTCTTCATTTGGTTTTTCAGAAAAGAGTTTTATCGAAGGCCAAACCGGTTTTGGTTCAGAACACAAAAGGAATGATGATAAACTTAAAGTTCCCATATTACATTAAAGTAGCTGATTTGGGATGTGCTTCTGGACGAAACACGTTCTTGACCATGTCTGAGATTGTGAACACGATCAATGTGTTATGTCAAGAATGTAACCAAAAACCACCGGAGATTGATTGTTGTTTGAACGATCTCTCAGAAAACGATTTCAACACAACATTCAAATTTATACCTTTCTTCAACAAGAGGATCGAAAGCAAAGGATTGTGCTTTGTCTCTGGAGTCCCGGGTTCCTTCTACTCGAGGCTCTTTCCCCGCAAGAGTCTCCATTTCGTACATTCGTCTTACAGTCTCCATTGGCTCTCTAAGGTATTACAACTATATATACTTTAATTACTTGCATGTTTAATTCTGTTTATAAGTAAAAGGTTATAACGTTGGAGCTTATAATTAAGGTTCCCGAAGGACTTGAGAAGAATTCTTCGAGTGTGTACATAACAACTTCAAGTCTTCTAAGTGAATACAAGGCTTACTTGAATCAATTCCAAAGAGACTTTACGACATTTCTAGAAATGCGTTCTGAAGAGATTGTTTCGAATGGACGTATGGTACTCACTTTTATTGGTAGAATCACCCTTGATGATCCATTGTATAGGGATTGTTGTCACGTTTGGACATTATTATCCAAATCTCTGTGCGACCTAGTCTCTGAGGTAACATATAAAAACACTAATTTTCGACAGTTAAAATATGTTTTCATATGCTTTTTAAAGATAAGAGCTTGTTAATTAGTTCTGATCCAATATAGGGTCTTGTAAGGGCATCTAAGGTTGAGTCTTTCAAAATGCCGTTTTATGATCCGACCAAAGAAGAAGTGAAGGAGATGATTAGAAACGAAGGCTCCTTTGAGATCCATGACTTGGAGTTTCATGGATTTGATCTTGGCCAGAGTAACCACGACGAGGACTATAGGTTACATTCACAAAGATCTAAACCAGGGCAAAAGGAAGCCAACTGTATAAGAGCGGTCAGTGAACCGTTACTTGCAGCTCACTTCGGAGA